GATGAGGCTCGAGCATTCGCAGGTTAATCACTAAATTCTGTTGTAATCAAGGAAGCCAGCCAGCCTTATAATCTGTAAAACATGTTTGTTTGAAAATTTATCTTTTCTCATCTCCCCGCATTAGAAAAGAACACTCTCTCATTTATTGAGACATCAGCGTTGGACTCCACAAATGTAGAAGAAGCATTCAAGAATATTTTAACAGGTAAGAGGAGCCAGACCCGGTGCTGTATCTAATGTGGTGTCTGATCTGAAGATTTTAATGTTGCATATAGCATTAGGTACACCAGTGCTACAGCTACACACACCGAACAATCAATCCACTTATTAGGAGTCTAAATGAATAGAGCGTCAATGCGTTTTTCTTTCTTAAACTTCCCTCTGTAGAAATCTACCGCATCGTGTCGCAGAAGCAGATAGCTGACAGATCGGCACACGATGAGTCTCCGGGCAACAATGTAGTGGACATAAGTGTCCCCCCAACCACTGACGGGCAGAAGGGCAACAAACTCCAGTGCTGCCAGAGCCTGTGACGCTCAACTCCATAACACTCATCCTCCACCTCTCCAAGTCCACCTCTACATCACATCACCTGTGCACTTTTTTCTTCCCGTTGCTCTGCTCACGGCCAACTCCCTTCTCACTCTGTCCTTTATTTTTCTTTCTGCCTTTCATTGTTTTTATATAGGACTTTTGAACTCACCCGTGCTCTTCTCTTCTGCCATGAAAGAAAACTTCAAGAATCGTTTATGTCACTGGGTCAGTCGAGCTGTTCATGGGGTCAGTGTGAAGGTTCCTGCAATGCAGGAACAAGGCAGTCGTGCTGTCTTAATGAAGCCTGTGAAGTTGTTTGAACTGAACCGAAACTCTGTACTTGTGTACAGGGAGGTTGTGAAATACATTTCAATGGTTACCACTAGATGGTGCTGTGTAAATAAACTACAGGCAGTTACTCCAACCTGGTGAAGCAGTATTAAGCGTCTGACAGTGTGGTTCTTCTTTCTTCTTACATCAGTTAAGTTATGCCAAAAATATCCTCATGTATTTATTGAAGAATATTTGGCTCAAGTTGTCATTGTTTTACTTTAAATTTAAGAACTGTATAAATTTACAATAAAATTCTTGACAAAAGAATGTTTTGTATGTGTTTATATATTCTTACTGAAGTTCTGTACCTGAGTAAAATTTTGAGATACTAAGAGTACTTAGTTTTGACCTCACTACATTTCAGATCAAGAGTTTACATGTAAAACGTGACCAGTTTATAAAATATTTTAGAGTTTCAGATTGAGCTACCCAATAGTAGATGTACTGGGTAACTTAGCTCCACCATGACATTAAAACACTGCTTACATGTGAACACATCAGTAATGACACTAATAATGTATATGATAAAGAATGAAGCCATTTTGCATAATGAGTACTTTTACTTTTGATACTTAAGGTGCATTTTGCTGACAGTTCTCGTGCACTTTTACTAACACACCTTTTGAATCCACTACCTTTACTCGTAAAGGACTATTTTTATATTGCAGAATGGTTACCATTACCTCAGTAAACAATCTCAGCACTTCTTCCACTGCTGTCAAGTTGTGATACATTTTTAAAGTTTGTATCTGAGTCTTTTATCAAGTTGAGATGAGCTGTCTGCGCAACATTGCCAAAAAAGGACACTAAAAAAAAGGGTTTAGACTTCTGACATATTAATCATCATGGCTACATCTTCTGTAGCTGAGCATAAAATAGCCAAATGTAGGCTGATAAACTCATTTTAATCACTAATCAACACCCACTGAAAACAACTTTTAGTGTTTTTCTTTTCCTTCCCGGGGAGCATATGGAATATTGTGAACTAGTGTTTTTCTAGCTAAGCTGCTTATATTTTCCAAATGCAGTGCATGGAGGATGAGGAGATTCTGTGACTATTCACAGCAGCAAAACTTGACATCAGCAGTTGTTTTTCATCAGGATTAATGGGCACATACAGCTGTGGTCAAAAACAGACTGACAGTAATGACATCTCATCCTCGCTGGACTAAGAGGATGATCTCTAAACAGCCATATCAGACAAAAATAGTGATTATCATTAACACAGCTATCTAAACAACAAAGTAAATCACCTGACATAATGTTCACCCGCAATTTATCTTCATGTTTTATTTGCTTTGCAAACAATTCTTGGCTAATTGCAGGTACCAGTATTTTGGTATTTCTTTTTTTTTTTTCCACACAACACTGTAGTATTTAAAAATGTGAATACTGAAGAATTGCAACATAAATTACAAATGATACATATCAACATACCCACCCCCCCAAAAAATACATATAGGATTAAAAGATTACAAAAATGTTAAACAACATAAGTAACATTAACATTTTTTGTGTAGAAACAACAAAGAAAACAATGATAAATTAAGTATTACATTGCGGTTAAAGTGTAATCAAACACTTAAAAACTCTTTGGAGAAATGAGGAGCTCTGATAACTCTGACATGAACAGACAGGTGGAGGAGCAGTGTTGCATACTTTGTACAGACTCCCATTACTGTAAAATAAGATCATTGTTATTTCTTACAGGCAAGCAGTCTTGAATAACTGCGCCTCAGCTCTTTACATTGCATCAAATCAGTGCCCCAATAAATCCTAATACTTGGAGTAAAGCCTTCATGACAAACAGTAAACACATGGATGATCAAATGACTCATAAGGCCCCCCGGGTGCATCGCAGTACTGCAGGATATAATCCTTTGTTCTGAGATCAGTTAAAAGCACAAACAAATGATTAAACTGGGGCAGTATGTGGGGCAACACTACCAAAGTGTAATGTTAGTGTGTATAAAAGGGCCAGGGCAAGGAATTAACTCTTACAGCCACTGGTCACTGGTAATGCCACACTGTCAGCAGTCAAACAGATACAAATATAAACAAAACAATGGCTGCTCCACACTTACAGCCATTTAGCTGGTGTCAATTTCCCACTAAACAGCACTACTGAGATGCACCCTGTTCTTATGACTGACGCTTTACAACAACCCAGAGGAGCTGCTGTAAATGTAATGTCGTTTCAGATTAAAAGGTTTCTGTGGAATAAGGAGGAGGAGGAAAAAATAAATCAATATTGATGCTTACTGAGCCAGAAGCTAGAAGCTGACTGAAATGGTCTGGGTTGACTCTTTGGGACTACGCCACACCACCGCACACCAGTCTAGCCTGATTTATCATAAGGGAAATATAGATGCATTTTCAGTAACATATGCATAACTGTGCATTAAGACTAGACTTTTACAATGTGTAAATCCTGAATGCCTCTGAAAGTTAGAGAAAAGCACACAGGAAGGACAACTCATGATCAAAGTATGACAATGACAACTCATTAATAAACATATCAATGTCCTTCTACTGAATAGAGCAGAACCAATCCAAAAGATAATAATTATCATCTTGGAACTAAAGTTTAGTCATAAAATGATTAATAATCAATCAACCAGTCTAGCTTTAGACTAGTTTTAATGGTGCCTCAATGCTTTCACTGCTACCTGTGTAGTACAGCTAATGTATTATTTTCATCACCCCTCAGAATTATATAAAAAAAAGTGTTATAAATGAAACACTTAAAACCTGTAAAATCTGCACAATAATACTGAACCAAAGGTTAACATAGGCTGGATTACATTACGTTACAATAAAGTTGTTCTCAATACTGTGTAAAATGTAAATGTGTTGTTGGCTTCTGGCTTATCTCCCTGTGAACGGGCCACAGTGAGTTCAAGTGGCAATTAACCGTCTACCCATAACCTAAATTGAGTGGAATGAGGTTATAATAATAATAATAATAGTAATAATAATAATGTTCAAAACAGGACCATGTTATGAGCTGGAAATCTGGAAACCAGGCCGACGCTGGTTTGTGTTTTCTGACTGGTTGATTAACAGCCACTATAAGTGACTGTAAGTGTAAACTGCACCAAACTATATACAAGAGTGACGAGTAAATTCTCTCTACCCTTCCAAACAACCAACACAGCCAGTCCCAAATGAGTGTGGTCAGTAACATCACAACATAATGAGGCCAAATTTGCAGCCCAAAAAAAAATTGACATCCATCAAATGGACTTAGAAAAAGCGTGTGAGCGTGTGATCTCTAGTGGCTCCCTTGAAAGAAAAGACAAAACAAAGCTAAAGTCAGATTAAGCCCTAGTGGTGCTTGCATAATGTACCCGCCACCAAAGTCACTGTTGGCGGGTAAGGTTTATGTTAGACTGACAGAAGCAATAAACACCAGCACTGAGAGTTTTTTTTTTAAATCTGATCACAGAAACCAATGTTTGGCCATGACTTGAATGATAAATGCTTGCAGGAAGTATCCCTGATCATTGGTGTGACTCTGGGAACTACACACACGCAGCAGTGTGTATTCCTTAAAAAACAAACAAAATGCAAAATACCTATAATTAAGTACTTTAACAGGCAATTAGAAGGAGGCTGTAGTACAGCGTCAGCCACCCAACAATACTTGCAATGTTCCTCTAAAACCCATTTTGATGGGAGTTTTCTATCGATCTGTACAAGACCTACTTTCTAAGTGCTGCTACTACAAGAACCTCTGTGAGGACACTGTCAAACCCTACTTCAGTAGGAATAGTCAATCGGTTCAGTTTTTTTAAACCACGAAATAATTTTGACAATACACTTACACACACAAAAAAAGTAAAAATTCCTAAAAATGATTAACAGTGCTTGCGTGCATAACTGTGCATGTTGGTAGAGGTCTCTTCATGTACTGTGAAGACCTTTATGTCCACAGTGTTTTATTGCACAATCTCTGGCTTTACGAATGCTATGCTGCCATCCATTCTTGGATGAAATGTTAAAACAGATGCAGAAAAAAACCCTTGAGAAAAGTCCAATAGGTTTGTGCTCAAATGAAAGTTGCATCCCAGACGGCATACTGGCATCTGCACTGAGAAATGTAAATAAATTGTTTACAGATTAACAGGAGGCCACACAATAACTGCTCCAAAGAGCTCCTCAGTGGGCAATGTTGTGCAGAGGTCAATGTAGCCAAGAGCCCAGATACGACATGTATCTAGTAGTTTACACCCTTTCATCATGCACAACAATGAACGGACCTCCTACACTCGACTGTCATCTGTGGACCATCGATGGATTGTTGAAACTAAGCAGAACATTCATCAGAACATTGCACAGTCCAATAAACAGGTTAGTTTGGTCATTTCTTATTCTGATGTCGCTGTTATCTAATAATTTCACTGCATCCACGATGATAGCTGTTCCCATGTCTCTGTAAATATCTCTACACATCTCCGTGCGCTGTTCCATTCTTTAGTGCCTTTGCATAAGCTTGGTCAACACCCAGCGTGAGGACGGATAGACTCCATTTAAATGTGCTCTTTTCTGCACCCACAGGAGGACTTTTTTTGAAGTGATGTGAATTAAGTACTGATGAGACAAAGAAAACATTTTTTTTTTTTTTTTAAAGCAACCAAAAAAAGCCCACAAGTGTTTTTTAAATGCCAGCTGGTGGGCTTTGACGCGCCGACAATTAGCCCCCGCACATAAAAGACACCATTTTCACCGACCATCTCCGTTTGGTCTCATACTATACTCTCATTGGCAGACTTCTTCATCAGTTTGTTAGAGAGCAAGGAATGCTGGGAAGAGTTAGACTCCTTGGCTTCAGGAATGAGCAGACGTACTTTCTGATTTGTTCTTCTCCACTCAGAGTACAGCTGACAGTGGTAGCGGAAAGATACCTGCACAGACAACCAGGTAGGAGAAGACGGAGATATAGGAGGTCAATTATACACACAAACCTTTAACTGTTTAAGTCCACTAATAAAATCAAGTTTCTGGCAAATTGGCAGACAATCTTAAAACTTATGGTGTGTATTACAATAGTTCTACAGTCTAATCTGTATGTGAATTGTGTTTTACCAGGGTCCACAGGACATAGATGGTGAAGAGGGCGATGGTGAGGGCTATGAGGCCTACAGCCTGCAGCCAGCTCCCCAGCTGAAGATGGTCCTGAGCACCCCTCAAGCACAGCCAGCCTGAAATGGCCGCTAGGGGTGTGATAAACAGGAAGCACACCATGTCGCAGAACAGCGTCCTCTTCTCATTGCGAGGGCCAGGGTCCCGCAGCCACTGTGGAATAAGAAGTACGAGACAGAAAAATAGAGAAGAGGGAGATATGTACAAGTGAAAGAGAGACAGGGGAGAGGTAGATGGACGGGTGGAAGAGAGATCTTAAGTCAATCAAACACAGAAAAGAGACACTACAATAACAAGCAAGCAAGCAGAAAGATGAGATGTAAAAAAGCTACTTCTCCTTCACACACTTAGATATTCACAATCATTCACAAACCACAGCCCAACCACGTAGAATAAAAACCAGAGAAGCAGAAAGATTGATGCAGACAAGGCAAAGGGCATTGACCTTTGTTACCTCTGTGAGAGGCCTCGGTCGGCGCTCGATGCTGAACTCTGTGTGGCAGAGCTCGCAGTAGCTGGTGTTGGAAGACGACAGCCACTTCTCCAAGCAGCTTTTGTGCACTGTGCCCAGAGTGCCTGTGCAGTCACATGGAGACAGGAGCCCCTCGCTGTTGCCTCCTTCATGGCAAATACGGCAGATGGGACCATCGCTGAAAATAACACGTACATTAAAAAAAGCTTCCCAACCCAACGCTGTAATGGTACCAAAATCCAGAAGGAACTTGCAGCACATCAGATACACTCAATGTTAATGTTCCCCACAGGACTGCGTCTGTGACAGCACGAGCGTGAGAAAGTCTTACCTTTGTGCGCTCATGGGTTTGAGCACAGAGGAGAGCAATCGTCCATCTATGGCTGTGACCTGGGTGACGTAGAGTGCTGGACACCCGTCACCACCTGCTTCCTCCACACTCTTCCACAGGCCAGTGCTGCTCGCACAGTCACACAGAGAGCCAGGCAGGTGGCAACAGCCCCCCGTTGTCATGGTTACAGTGGCCAGACCCTGGCCGTAGAGGTGGAGGCGAGGGCGTAAAGCGACAGAGTCAAAGGTTGATTAGGAGAGCAGGAAGCACAAACTCTGCTGTCCACAGGTTGGTCAAATGTAAAGTCTACAAACAGAGAAAGAGACAGATTGAGAGTTAATGGCTTTTTCATAAAAACAGCATCAGTGAGGGGAAGCAGGTTAAATACTTTTACTCAAAACTGAGGGGTGAGTTCAACTTAAAACATCAGCGGGCACGTACAACATCAACATGTTTTTGTCTTTCAGTTTGTGGAGTGAGGAACAGACTGGAGCTCAAGCAATGTCAAAGCATGATCCAGTTTAAAAAGCGGTACACACGGTTTTCACGAGGTACAGGGAGGAAGAAGGGCTTTAACAATCGGGTGTTTTCATAAATGATTTATGTATTTGTTTATTTAATCTATTTATTTTGTAGTTTTTCTTTTGTGTAAATATGTGTGTTGGGGAGAAAGAATTGTTAATTGAGTAGAGGGAAAGGGTTTAAATAAGGCAATATGCTTCATCCTACTCCTTTTCGGACATGTGGGTTCACTTTATTACTTTTGTAATGTATTGGATTTGTTTGTTTGTCAGTTTACTTTGTTGTGTTACTCGCACATGTTCGAAATAAAAAAGAGAAAGAAAGAAAATTTTACGGTACTGGAACTTACTTGAATGTTTCCATTTTATGCTACTTTATATTCTGTACTTCAGAAACATGTATTTCACTTTTTACTCCACTAAATTAATTTCCATCTTAATTATTCTCAGTGATATATTATTCATACATTGGCTCCATAATGAGTACTTTTTAAGTACATTTTTATACTAATACTACTGTACTTTGACTTACTGTAAGTACAATTGTAAATACTTTTAACAAATATTTTACTTAAAAATGTTAAACAAAAATCTCCACCACTGAACAATAAACTATATAATATTACAGTAGTATAAAATTACAATACATTATAATATCATGCAGAAGCTGAAGCACGCTGCCTCAAAAATTAAACATAATAAAAGTAAAGAGATACAGAATATCGATATATCAAAATTGTTAAATGAGACCAGACATTGTCATTTGGGTGATCACAATGTTAACTTAAAGGTCTCCCTGGTCCTTAAAGCTGCAGCTCATATATGTAGCCATATATTATTATAAAATAATTGTATGAAAGCATCAATAGTTGTCCCTATATTATTAACAGTATTGTGAAATAGTCAATACAGTACACTGAGCTTTATGTTCTGACAGTGCTCATCTCAATGTGTGCTTAATGTGCCATTCATTTCCTGCCATGTGAGAATAACTAAGGTTATCTACAAAGACATTTTGTCATTTACAATGAAGCTGTCAGTTTGGAGTTGGGCCAAATTGCCCAAAGCAGCAACTAATCCAGTATAAAAGCAAGCGTACTCGACATTGAGTGTGATGTGCAGCCAACCGATAAACAGTCTGTCTCCCCTCTGATAACCCCTCACTAAAGATAAGAGGCAGAGGGACGAATCTGCTACAGCCTGTTGTACATTTGCCTTGCTATTTGGAAATTATTCTATACAGTAACACACCAACGACACAAAAACAATAGCTACAGTAAGAGTACACCAAAACATATGACTGGTGTGTGTTTAGGTATTTAAGTCTCTCCTTTTAAAGAAATGTTGAGCTACTGTGCTCTCACCACTTTAATGATGGCAGCACAGCTACTATTTAAGAGGGTAACTTTAACACATAAACAAATATTGTATATGACACAAGACAGTGATTATTCACACCAGGGTAAACAGCCCCGGCTGTGTTACTGCAGCTGTGCACATCACTGTTAATCCTATGTACTCAACAGTGTTATTGTTGTGTTGTTTTTGTAAATCAGGAGGTTTTAAATGAAACATGGTGCAGAAATGCTCCTGTTCATTTATGGGATTTTCTTTATTGTGTCTCTTGTGTGAACTTCATGATTCAGGTCCCTGACTAGATGACCTCTTAATCCATTCAGATCAATGGCAAACGTGGTGTTATTATTTATGAATACTGATACAGCACGGGGGCACGATTAATCCCTGACCCAGATAAACAAAAGGGGAGCCCCAAAAGTAAGACAACAACCAGATCTGTTAAGTTACCGTCTTTAAACACTAGTGATGTGCTGTACGTAAACACAGCAACAAAACAGACTGCTGTATTTCCACATAGCATCACTGAGGAGACAAATTCTGTCATTTTTAAACCAAACTCTTCAAGTGAATGTGACTGAAACGGCACACACACATTACGCCATGGACATTTTACAGTCTGCCAACAAACTAGAAGTGGAAGAGAGTTTTATTTTCACCAGCTGTGATCAGCAGCATCCAGCTGTGATCATCCAGCTGTGATCCAGACTATTGTATGATCACAGATTGTACTTTGTCACTTTCCTGCTGCCAGAGGATTGTGTGGCTGCGTACATTAGCTGTGTGTATAACTCAGCTTTGTTTAGGTGATCTGATATTACATTAGTACGAACTGTTGTTTAACATTTGTAATGATTAATCAGTGACTGTAACGTTGCTTCATGTCGTCAGTTCGAGTCCGTTACAGCTGTCGGTAGCTAGCTGTCAGTAGCTACAGTACGCTGCTAATTAAACAAAGTAAAGCCACAGCGTTACTTACCCCGTGTCTTCTTCTCACAGATGTGCCAGATGTGTCACAGCAGCGGGCATTACCGCCCCAATAACCTCCTGTTTTCTTCTCTTTTCATTTTTAGCCGAAGCGATGTGTGAATTCACAGCATTGGCTAACGTTAGCTGGTTAGCCGCAGATATGCTATGAGTGCCGTGCTAGCTCTCAGCTGATAACACACAGCAGGCCAGGCTTCCGCTTTCCCAGGGCTTTAAATATACCCCAGAGGCTCATCATCAGCTGTCTGCCTCCACTGTGAACGCAGGGCAGACAGGGCAGACGAGTGCAAAACAACCCGGGCGACTTAAACTGTGAGTGGGAACAACAGCAGCAGCCTGCCAAAGGGAGGGGCGTTCACAGACAGCGTCACATGCGCAACACGGCCAGGAGATTTAAACACACTAAACCATCTCTATAAAGCATTAACATGGAAAACTCATTCATTTTAATTCCAAAGTCTGTGTTTTACAGCACATATTGGTCATAAAATGTCCACAGATTTTTTACTTTACAGTTCTAGAAATGGCAGGTCTTATAACTGCATAATGAATATTAGGTTTAACAGTGGTTAATGATGGTTGTATAGGCGGAGCTACTTCATTTACCCTCATTAAAAAGAGCACAACAATGCACATTTAGCTTTTTAACAATGTTTCACACAATAAACTGCTGTTTGTTTGTTTTTTAAACACTGAGTGGTGTTAAAATGCATTCACATTAGTTTCAATAGGGATGAAGGTTTCTAAAACAAAGTATCAGATACTTTAAGGGGGCCTGCCCTAAGAGCAGAAGACATCACTAGATGCTGTAAAACTGTATGACTATATGAGGAGTGCCTAGCGTTTATGTGTAGATCCTGAACGGCAGCCTGTCAAATGGACCTCTGGAGCCTGTACGCACTTCGCACAAACATTTCCACCCAACCATTGACAGCCAAGTTGCTACACAACAGAGAGCAAACACAACATTAAGTTAAGAGTACACAGAGAGTAATGCATCCAAAAATAGGTCTGTTGGCTATATGTGAATTAGGTTTATTTATGCTTCAGTATTTTCTGTGTAATGCGAAAGTAGCAAAACATGTTTACATTTGCTGCCGTTACATATATTTTTTGAAGAAATGTTAAATATCACAAGAGACATAACGAACGTGAATCGATCACACGTGAAAGCATCTGTGCCAGACGGGTGAAATGGGGGCATTTCAGCCAACCATATAAACAATTTGCATTTCTAATTTTCAGTTCTACTTTTCCAACTGGCAAACGTTAATGTGGCTGACTGAAAGTGTTGAAGAGACATATTATACACGTCTTTATCCATTTCCCTTTAACAGATAACTCACTCAGACAGCAAAGGCTGATTGAGCACATTAGAGGAAAATGTTCAAGACAAGAAAGCACCGCATACGATGCATTTGGTCTTTTCAACACTGTTTCCTTTACAACCAACAGGAAAATGTTTCAAAGATGTTAAATGTATTTTTAAAATAAGTGGATTTGTTCCACTGAAATTACTGGACGTAAGTGCAAAATTTTAATTTTGAGACAGCCGACTGAGCCAACTCAAAAAGAGAAACACAAGGCTTGATGCAGGCTGATAGCATTATTCCACAAATAATAAAATCACACAGCACAATTTATAACATTACTTTTGCTAAATAGCATTACACATTATTTGCAAATAGCTTGAATTGGTTTGCCAAATACAGCAATGAAATGCAATCTTAGCAGCCTTGAACATGCTTAAATGAGAAAACCTAAAACTGACGATTGCATCCGTCTCCTTTGGTATCTTTGTGCACTAAGCCACTAAGATTAACACACTCTCACACACACACACTCACAAATAAAAACACTTAAGTTTGATTCACACTTGCCCATATTAACTCAGACAGTCACAGCCAGTCTGGTCCCTGGCTCATGCTAATTTCATGCCACAGTGGACACAGGACTCAAAGAGGAAAATTACAATTAAGAGGCAAATAGAAATTCCAGACAGAGTACACATCAATACTCTGGTGGTACCTTCGTCTCATCTCCTCCTCTACAATCGAAATGCATGACAGACAGAATCAGGTCAACCGGACGTGAAATTGGGATTCCACTGTAGCAAGTCTGTATCATTGCAAGCTGAGAAAAGAGGCAAGTAGAAACCACTTGCTCTGATAAACAGGCTGACTGATCCCTCACCATTCCTTCAACGGGAGCGGGTCAATGGGACCATAAAGGCTAGTTAATTAAAAAGAAATTGTAATTTACTACAGTTTTAAGTTCAACTTCATAATAGCAAAACACTTGCTACCTCTCCAGGTTATTATGAGGCTGTATAGTTTTTTTTTGTTTTTTTTTTTTATACACAGACTGAAATCAGAGGAAGACAAATGAACCAAGAAAAGAAAAAACAAAGAAGAAACCAGCAAAAAGGAATGTCAAATACAAGTGTCTTGGTGTCAGAGACGTCTGAGCCCATGAGGGTATCATGATGGCAGCAGCATGACAGTTGAAGTAAACCAGAGGTGAGGAGAGGAAAGACTGACACAAAGTCAAACAGGAAGTCACAGGCTTTGGCAGCAAGGGAGTTTGTTGCCCCTCTGCCCGTCCGTGGTTGGGGGGAGACTTATGTCCACTACGTTGTTGCCTGGAGACTCATCATTCCCAGATCTATCCGAAATTTGCTTCTGAGATACGATACGGTAGATTTCTGTAAGAGAAAACAGCAGTAAGTAAATCTTATGTTACATTACCTGGGAGATTTATAGAAAGCTGAACATTATATTTAAGAGTTTCTACCTGTGAGAATGTTCTTAAAGGCTTCTTCTACATTAGTGGAGTCCAAGGCGGAGGTCTCAATAAATGAAAGAGTGTTCTTTTCTGAAGATGAGAAAAAGGATGATTTACACATTAATGCAGTTTTAATGTATGTTAACAAGGAGACAGTTTGGATAATTCTTTAAATAAGTGGTTTTAATATTATGGCTACAAAACAAACAAACAAACAAACAGAATTCTACTTTGATTACAAGACTACTTTAAATGGAGTGCTGTTTCCCCGACGGCAACACTAAACCCCCATCATATGCTCGAGCCTCATCAGTGGGGACCGCCCTGAGGTGGCGGAGGTCGCTCTTGTTCCCAACCAGCATGATGACGATGTTGTTGTCGGCGTGGTCCCTCAGCTCCTTCAGCCAGCGCTCAACGTTCTCATATGTGAGGTGCTTGGCGATGTCGTAAACTAGGAGAGCCCCAACGGCACCCCGGTAGTACCTGGCGACGGCATACACCAGATGAATACAATAACTGCACCGTCTGTATTTCAGGCTCGTATTTGCATCACTAGTTTGTTGAAAACACTCACGCTGAGGTGATAGCTCTGTAGCGTTCCTGTCCGGCTGTGTCCCAAATCTGGGCCTTTATCGTCTTGCCGTCCACCTGGATGCTGCGGGTGGCGAACTCCACCCCAATGGTGCTCTTGCTCTCCAGGTTGAACTCATTTCTTGTGAAACGGGAGAGCAGGTTACTCTTCCCCACTCCAGAGTCTCCGATCAGCACGACTGCAACCAAATCACACACACACACAAAATATGTAAATAAAATAAATAACCTGCAGCGTCAGTCTGACAAACTGTAAAAGATAAGTGGTGTGAACTCATGTTTGGAGCTTAGCATGCCTTCTTCCAATCCACCTTACACTGCACAGTCAGTCAGTGCAATCTTTTAAAGCTTCAGTCCATTAAAGCAAATACAGTTTATTCTATTTTATATACACACTCAATCCAGCACCTCGCAGAGCACACTTACACTAATGTACAGTACACATTTGACTAGTACTTTACAGAAGTTACAGTAAGGTCCCTTTTAGTTCAGACTAACCCATCTATCTATCTATCTATCTATCTATCCATCTATCGATCTATCGATCTGCGCTGCAACAAAATATTGATTGAAGGTGAAACGCACAACATGTCTATCGGTATGTTACTTTATTCTTATGTTTAAAATTGTGTCTCGCTGCATAAGAGGTTAAGTAACTCAGAGGACAGTGGTTATGTGCTCAAGAGGAGCAGCACAGTGAAATATGTCCAGCAGCAGTTCTGCTCGTTGTTTCTGACGATGTCAACAAGTAAGCTAAGTAGCTTTAGCTTTCGTAGCTTTACATGTCTCGCAAAGTGATGCAGAATTAAAACTACGAACTATTCAATAGCTGCCATCTGTCGCCCAAAGACAGACGTTTTATTTTAAGTAAACTTAAGGTCGTCTAAGGTGATTGTTTATAACGAGGCCAAGGTAGCTACCATGTTAGCAAGCTAGCTTACTTATTTAGCTACTTATTCTCCAGCGTTAGCTCAGCGTCCTCACTGGAGTCTCTGATTGGTCGGCGAGTTTCAGATCCAAGTTACACTTCTAGAGACGAAGTGTGGCAGCATTACAGCCTGCTAATTGAACCGGTCATAGTGATTACAGGGTTTGCTCGACGGTCAACAGCTATCATGTTACCGATTGCCACTTCGCTACCAGTAACGTTTGAGCTAACTGGAGCTAACTTTAGCATTAACGCTGGCTTAGTGGACTTCCTCAGTTCGTCACAAACTTTTACAAAGAGCTCAAACACGCTGTCAGTCAGCCACGTTTCAAGAGGAAAGTACCTTTGAACAAGTAGTCGTATTCGTCGTCTCGGGTTCCCATTTTTGAAGACTAGTTTTTGTACTTTTTAAGTTCTTTCCCACGAACAACAACAACAACCCTTCCCACCGGCAGCTACGAGGCACCTCCTTCAAGGAACAGAACGAGCACGTGAGTTTTGGAACGTCGTTTTCGACCAATTGAAAGCGTTTTCATACTGACTGACACATAGACTGACCAATCACATGCCTTCTTTGAAAATGCCGACCAATCACGATGCAGAGCAGAGAACACGACGGGGCATTACACCCTTTGTTCTCCAAACTTCGACGCCCTTGTCCTCCTGTGGATTGAGCAACATCCAATTCTGCATCAGCATACTTCAGCATATTGCACAATGTTTTATGAATTTGTTTTTATATTTGACCCAGAGCAGAGTATATACACAGGAACCAAGCTGCGGTATTACATGGAAAAAGCAGATGCATCAAACCAAACAATACCTATGTGAAAATAAACAACAGGAGAGGCTATACTATATATTAATTGGTCACAACTATTATTACTAACAAAGTCATTATTAGTCGTTATTAATATGTTGTTCATTTGTACTTCACTGTATTCCACTTCATTGTCTTAGTGGACACACAATCCAGACCAGTAGATGTCAAATTGGCAGATTCTGGTCTGAGTGGAAGAGCCACAGCCAAGACTGTCAGAGTGGGATTTATTTTTTTCAACAGAGAAAGCTGGATTTGAGAGTCCTCTTCTGTTGTGCTTCTTTTCTGTGGCAGGGATTAACCATTACTGGTAGGAACTGACATCTGATAGTCTCTAGCTGAGCTAGAGAGGAGTAACCTTATCTACAGAACTGCGTCACATGATCAGACCTTCCCGGCTCCTACAGACACATTTTGCAGATATTTGTGCCTCTAACAAACCTAGATGGTGATGGTTAATTCATTCATGAAACACTTCCATCTAGAGCAAGATGGCTCAACAGCAAGTGGCCTAATTTCCACTAATGAAATTATTTCTAATCATTGTTGCGACCCCTTGACCTTTCATGTAGCATTCATGGTGATCAGGCCAAACTTTTCAAAATCTAATAGGCAGAATGGGATGTTCATTAACATCCCTCAGTACATAGAAGGAACACCTGGTTTTGCTCTGCGTGTAGAGACACAAAGCTTTCCGACTTGGAGTAAATTTTGGAAAAATTGCCTATAAACAAATTACCATTCTTTAAACTAAAGAAATACAACCTAAAATGTGCCAAATATGACAGAGAAAGTTTAAATCACATATAAAATCACATAACTGTGAGGACAAATTATGTGTTATATGTCACATATTTTATCTATTCTAATGCTACTGTAATTGTTACATACAAATTACACACTTGGTGTGCAAATGAAGCAAAATTGTAGTTATACCTATCTGCGGTTTGGGCCCTAAAACACAGTAAAACTAAAGCCTCCAAAACACTGTTTTTGTTTGTGCATTTTGTTATACTCAACATAAAACTGGAGTACCCAATTAGTCACCCTAAAACCCTTATGACTTGTGAACTCGGTGGGAGGAGTTAATGCATAACAACTAAATGTTAATCAGTCTCTCTATCTCCCAAAAACATAGCGACTGATACAAATGGCCTTATTTCCATTTCAAATCAGGTGACTGATATTTTTTTTAGTAGTCAATACAAATATTATATGACATGGACAACAATTCATAGAACTGCTTTATTTTGTATTCATTCTGATTGAGTCCAAACACACACACATACAGCCATCTATTTATCCTCACGTATAAATAGATGAATATACACAGATATACATAAATACACATTTCTGATATGCATATTCATTTTGAAATCATGCTATGTCTCTGTTAAGGACTCTCCCTATTGGATGAGGGCACACAGCGATTTGAAAACACATACACAACACAGCTGAACAGTTGGAAGAATCCCTATTGATTTGCATGTACAGTAAAACCCACAAATCTTTCAATTTGGATATCTTACAAAGAAACAGCTGTGGTTTATAGACCATAAATATACAGCAGCTGCATCTCAATAAACACACTGAAGGATATGGTACAGTAAATTATGTAGATTGCAATCATTTCTTGCCCAGCAGCAAAAATAAAACCAAATAAAAATAATATTCTCCGATTCAAATGGAAAATATATTTGTATATCTTTATATATGTATTTATAATTTTATGTACACATTCTTAGGAGCACAACTATGAGAAAGAAAAATAAATACAACAGCACAAGTGAAAAAAATATAAACGATAGGCCTACATGTAAAATTTCTCAATAAGGCAATAAAAATGAACTTAAAAGCTAGACTGTACAAAATATTGCTGCTATGGTCTCCATCTGATGAACAACAGCAAACTGATTACAACTGGCCACTGCACATCATGAGAATGAGCTGATTTCTATTTTACAATGTCCAACATTGAGGTGTCCTCCCTTACACACAAACACACATAGAAACATACCAACCAACTGAAGAAACTGCGTCTGTTAGAAGTTAGATTTAAAAATCAATTTGTTGAACTTAAGTCTTACTTGAGAGTCCTACGATGTCAGCCACAGAGAGACTACAGTAAACACTACAATGACTGTGATTGACTTCACCAACACACACACTTGATAATCCTAACAAAAACGCCGTCTATATATCACCGGTGTGAGCAGAAAACGAAGATAACGTGATGTATGTTTATTTGGCCTCTATCACTAGTTCATCTTCAGGTCCTCTTGACAAGTGCAAACAACATTCAACCCATTTACAAACTGCTGTGTCACCAGGTCAACACTGCGACGTACTGTGTTCATTCAAATATACAGATAACAGGTACGATATTGACTGCAAATACTACAACTGATGCTCTACGTCTACAAACATTTGAAATGTCCAGTCAATGGATTTTCTTATTGTGAAGAGGTAAGGGCGACCAGATAGAGCAACTGTCACTGATATGCTGATTATTGTTCCACCCTCATAAAAAAAAAGAGAGAAAGAAGGAAATATGAAATTCTATTGTTACAAATGATTTGTGTGCATCTGTCCAAAAATAGGGCAACACTGGAAGACATTGTAATGATGTGAAGATTACTATAATGACTGACAATGTCTGCTGCCTTAGTGTTGCAATTGATGCCTTCTTTTTGAAGGCGAGAGTCATGAGCCTCATCCATTTCTACAAGAGGTGTAGTGAAAAAAGTAGTTAACACTGAAATTACACGACAAAAACACATGATGTAAAAAAGAAACTGGGAAACTACTAAAAAAAAGCTGCAGTGATGAAATGATAAAACAAAAAATAAAAGTTCTTTGGATGCAAATTGAAAAGAAAGCATTCAGAGTGTAAAAGTATCAATAACAGTGACCATAGGAATAAAATACAAACAGACAAAATGAATATAAGTTCACAGTAGTAAAACAGCTCAGAAATAAAAAAAAATGTTGGAAAAATGTTTTTGATATGAATAATAAATTATTATGCTATGAAAGAACTGTATATATTCACTAAAAGAAATTCTGTGTTTCTATAAACTGAACTCCATATATTCACTACTGGAAATGTGAGAATGACAGAGACGTCTGGATTTTCTGTTTTTAATGGCCAAACAATGGTTATCATTGTAACTCCAGTTCTCAGAGCACAGCCCTCCAACACCACAGGTTTGACCACTCATCCGGCACACTGAAATCTCACATCACATGTTTCTTTTCCAGCTGTTGCTGGATGCCATGTCAGGGTACAACAGCAATACAACCAGTACCAAGGAGCGTTGGTGGGCTTATCCTGATTGGCCAAAATTCCGTGTGCTGCTCTGCAGGAGTGAGTGGGAGAGCCTGTTATAGGGCTGTGCTTGTGTGAACTAGATCATACTGTACAATGCCTACAAAAAGACTTCACCCATGTGGAAGTTATCATGTTTTATTTTATGTTTACTGACATGAAAGTGTCTTTTTCTGTTGATCAGTGTAAAAAAAGCCACATTATATCTACTTCAGTGTTGTAAGACAGTAAAACATGAACACTTCCAAGGGGGTGAATACTTTTCAGAGGCACTGTGAGCTACTATGGTCTTTCATGTATGTCAAACACATAAGACTACAGCCGTATACACACTACTGCATGTCACACATACACATTATTGTTAAATTGATATAATTTTCATTTGTCCAGGGTGAAAGGCAGGGATGGTTAAAAATCAGCCATGTCATCACTGTCAGGATTTTTCCCCCCTCTCTGGTACTCAAGTCACTTGTATGCATGTTTAAAATCCTGGTTCAGACAGAGATCCTGCTGCTACCGCTGAGGTCTGGACTTCTGACCGATGAGTCCTCTCCGCTGAGACGTTCACTCCTCTCTGCCAGAGAACAGGGTTTACTGTTGGAGACAGACGGAGTGAATGTGTGAGGCAGAGTGCACACAGCATACACATCTTTATTTCCCCACGGCGTAAAATGTGTATCTTCTCATGCATTACCAGCTAATGATAGTGAGCCAAAGTGCTTTTATAAGAAGGAGAAAATAGAATAGATAAGGCAAGCAGAAATCTCATAACATAAACATAGACACAATTCAGAAAAAAGTGAAGATGTATTCATGTATTTATTAAATGATAATAGAAAGTAAGGTTTTGACATGGCCTGCAGTTTGTGTTCCCTTTGGTCTACACCATCGTGTCTGCTAGCATGAACTCCACATTTAACAAATACTAATGGATGGATTTAGTGGAATATCTTGGATCAACAAATACTGCACAGTAGGAAATTCCTGAGCTAATATAATATTTTTTAATTCATCTTAGCTACACAATACAGAAACATTTGAAATAGTTAACAAGTGTCCCCCTCAAAAGTTCAATGTTTGATCTTCACTGTGCAGAATGAAGAAGGATGTTTTCACATTAATTTGCTGAAAGTGGAAAGTTTCTCTGTGCTCACTGAAAATCTGATTTTAGGGGCGGGGCCTACGAGCATGATTTGTGACATCACAAATACTTTGAAAGTCAATCCTGGTCCAGTATGCAACTTATACAAGTGTGATGTAGAAAGCCACCACACTGAGAAGGGACTTTACAGTGAAATAGGAGACATCTTGTGTCCAGCAGGAAACCTTTAGAAATGAACAAAATGTGCATATTTATAGAATCTGGTATTTTTAATGAGGTAGAATGTATGTCTTTTTAAGGATTTTAAGGTGGAAATTATACTTTTTGTGGAAAAAATCTAAGCAGACACACATTATTCTTCCAATCAGACTATTTGTTTATATGTGTTAATACGTTCATGGAGCGGATGACCAATATGATAAGATATCACATTACTATGGAACAGGGATTAAGTTAGAGCACATTTTAATATTCTTTTACATCTTCGACCTCTGTCGAATATATCTATCCAAACTGAACTGGTTATTAAATGACCTGATCAGGAATGTCAGCACAAAACTTGCTTTGGGACATCCCCGGTGTAAAGATATGTCTGAGAAGATGACATATAATGAGTAGAAATAAAAAAAAAATCAATGGTTGATGACACCATATCATCTAAGCATGGCAGTGTGGCCAAATGCTGCTACACTGAACAAAGTAGTAACCTGCAAAAGAAAACCTCACATTAAACCTCTAAAGGAAAACAGTCAGAGCAAAGTGATGTCCTGTCTAATTTGACTCTTTGTTTTACTGTCATTTTTACCAGCTATAGCTCTATCTGTAACATTTTCCATATACATTTTAACACTGAAAATATACTCGTAACTCATTAACTCTACACCCACATTGCCCAAGATTTAACAAAATGATGTCCATGTTCTGTAAAATCTGTCTCCTCCTCTGCGAGTTTAATGCACATACTGTATCTTTAGTGTGACCGTTTAGCAGCAGGAGCTGTGGGAGTCTAGTGAAGCATGAGACTTATTGCAGGCCGATGAAGTTCCACAGTGTAGTAAATGCTGAGCAGCTTTTTGTTGGAGGGACACAGGATGGCTGGTCGTGGACTAAATGGTCACGCAAGCTGCGAGTGACCATTTCCACCCACTTATCAATGAGGAATGAATGCTGTAATGTAGGGGTGGATGCAAAGCAAGCCTACACTTTGAGTAACTATGCACTTTTGAACCTGAGAAGCTTGTTCTACATTTACCGTAAAAGCTTCTCGTGCAGGTAAACTGATGCTTTCCATCATTGTTACCACGAATGAACAATCACCACCAAACACAACTGATTTTATTCCTTTTCTAAACAATTTTCCTGTACTTAATATCTTATCCGATGCTTCTCACTTACTGTCTCTCTTTCCCAATCCCCATCTGGCAGGGCCTTAGACTCTGAGCCATAGTGTAGCGGAGAGTACACCCAGGTCTTGTCCTCTGGAGGCTGTTTTTACACACCCACCACAGCAGAGGGGGACAGAGGAAAGGCCAGAGGCACAGAGACAAGCAGCAGGGGCAGGCAGGAGAAAGACACAGGAGATCACAGGAGAAGAAAAGACAAGACAGGAAATGAAAATTAGGGATGCATATAGGAGGAAATGTCGCTGTGAGACATTGAAAAGTGTGAATTTGACAAATAAGTGTAAAAATGTTAAAAGTGTTTAAAAGGATGTGTCAATCCTTTTGGCGGTTAGAAGACTTAAACACAGAGATGAAGATTTAGGCAAATAACAGGTTGTATCAGTACAGAGGAGTGCTGTTAAGCATGTAAATATTAGGATGGGTCTTACAGACGTGTGGTTAAATCAAAAGTCTTAGTCTTTTGCCCCATTTGGACTAGCTCCTGGGAAGCAAAGTGAGGTGTACAGAGCAAGGGATGAGTCGCTGCATCAGCCAAACGGGGAGGATGAGGAGCAGGAAGTAGAATGGGAAGAAAGCCAGGATGCTGGGACAGTCAGACACAGAAAGCATCCTCAGTCAAAGCAAAACACAAGAACAGGATGTTGTTGTTGTTTTTTTTCCTTTCCAACAAGCAAAAGCGCTCTTTGAGTTATGTCTCTAAAAGCTCCGGTAGGTTCCGTGTTACTGAAGGTACCAGCCCTTTAAGAGAGGGAAGCAGCTGCAGCACGCTATGTTGGCGATGGTGACGAAGGTGTGGGTTGATGTCACACACTCACTCAAATACACACATATATATACACACACACACGCACAAAGCACAGCATGTTGGAGCTAACACGCTATCCACACAGGTGCAAAGGAGCATGAGGCAGGCTGTCGGTGAGTGAGGAAACAAATGGAGATGTATATAAGAGTAACACAAAGACACACTGTCTAATAAGAAATCTCTTCACTATCTTCACTGTGGGGAGGGTGGTTTAATGTTTAAACACAACTGCAAAAACACCTGATGTAATTAAATCACACAAAGCTGTAAGAAAAAAACCTTATTTCCTCTCAACACTGTAATCATATGTTTCATTCAACCAACAGCAATGTGCTCAGGACTAATCTAGTCTAATACCAGACACTTACAGCACTAGTACCATCTAACTCACTTCTCACTTACTGGCCAACAGGACTGGCATTTCCTCCTCTGTCGCAGAGGAGAGACCACCCAGGTCCTCCCGTCAGGAAACTGACAACAACAGGGGGAATATGGCACAAAGAGATATGAAAAGTTTGAAAAGAAAAGGGAGGTAGGGAGGGACAAAGGATGAAAAACATGATGAAAAGGACGAAGCATGCTGAGGTGAAAATGGAAAAGATTGTTCTGTGTGTAACCCAGCAGGGATACACTGGATGAGTCAGTGGTGACAGATATATTCACAAGTCTGACAGCCACACTGTTTTCATCCCCCCTTTTACACACAACACGCTACTATCTCGCCACTTTCATTATGTTTCACGAGGACAATCACAGGAAACGTCGGAGAGAGAGCAAGAAGGAAAAGATTTGGGGCTAGATGAAACAGGGGGAGGTGAAAATGATGTAGAGTATGAGTAAAATGGGCGAACAGGACACAGGAGGATGAGGTAAGGGGGTGAAGATGAGGGAGAGGAGACAAAAGAAGAAAAACAATCACATGTGGAGGAGGACAGAGGTGAAGGAGAGCAGAGCGAGAATCATGAAAAGTGAATGTGGAGACTGTTGATAGTGGCTGAATAATTTAGTCACGAGTCACACTGAGCAACCTGTGAAGTGACCTCACACACACACACACACACAGTCTTGAGCAATCACTCCAATCTCACAGCTAAATGATGCGCGATCACAAATGTGGCCTCGTATCAAAAATTCAGACATATTCCCTGCCCCTTCCTCCAGCACATATTGTGTGATTTATGAAAAATATGGTCCCGTAACACAAACTGGATGCTCCTGCAGTTTGTATGTTGCAAGTTGCTGACTGTTACAAGGACTAAAATGTGATTTATTTTGATTTTCTCTACCCACAAACACAAGCTAGCAGGCCCGAGTGTGCTTGTAATGGGGCAGTGGAAACATAAGCAAACTCAGTAATAAAATAAAGAAAATTTGCTGGAATATACAGAAACTTACAACATGTTAATCAAAATACAATTCAGCTCAATACTGTTGTGAGAAACTGCTCCACAATACCCATTAATAAAGATTTTCTGCTAGCTCTGCCTGTGTTAGTTGAAACTACTCCAACTCCTAAAGGTTATAGAAAACAAGTAGAGTGAGGATACAGGGGGCAATAACTCTGACATTGTCCTGTGGTTCTTGCTTGTTCTGTGTGAATGATGTGGACGGGCACCTAAAACATTCATCAACGGAAAAAGCAGGCTGAGCGGCCATGCAGAAACCTGATTTGTGTGTGATGTCAGAAGGGAGAAGCGAGGATGATATGATGATGATGGAGATAGCAGAAACAGACAGGGAGCACAGAGACAGGGATGATCGGATGGCGAGTTGACTGACTGAGCTGCTGAATGGCCAAACTGAGCGGAGCAATAGAGATTTAAATGATTCCATTTAAGTTCAGTTCTGGCAGCATGTTAACGGTGGATGAAACAACTTACTTTGACTTGGCCACTTCCTAGAGGCCACTTTTGACTGCACCGCCTGCAGCGTGTTTCTGTGTAGTTCACACAGCGCTACAGACCCCCCGCTGCTGTGTACAGAGAGTGTATCCCCTTCCTTTTGAAGCATGAACTGGGCATCGGCCAGAGCCGGTCAGACGAGAGGGCTGTTAAATAACTGAGGGAGCTCGTTGACTAACCTGTTGGCCATTAGGATTTCTCATGCCACATTAGAGGGTGTTTGATTCCTGATAGGAGACACCCAGCAGGAGTGTGAGCGTGGTGGGAACGTTTCTATCTGTAACTGTGATCACTGGCTTCACCCTCCATCCTCCACCTGACACTCATACATTCATTTATAGCTGTGCTTTTGGGCACATTTAGACCTGCCAACACAACATTATCTGATGATAGCGGGTTGCTCTCAGTAGGACAATCCTGTAGACTGAACACACACACAAACTGCAAAAGTTTCATTTGTTATTCATACAAAATGAGCTGCTGAGTGTGTCCTTGCTGACCATCATATTAGACAGGAACTGCAAAGTGATGTTGACGTGCTATCATCACTCTGCAAACACTCCAAACCAGAGAGCACACTGCAATACACTGTGTTTAAAGAAATAGTTCGACATTTTAGGAAACATGCTAATTCGCTTTCTTGGTTAGTTGTGAAGATTGATACCACTCTCATGTCTGTAATGCTAAATATCAAGCCAGCAGGAGGTTAGCTTAGCTTAGCATAAAGACTGGAATGAATGTCGAAGTATTCCTTTAGCTGAACGCACCACACACTGCAAGCAGCAACTGCACACTCTTACTGCCATAGCTGGAGTTGCTACGTCCTTCTGTCAACGCCGCTGTAGGAGAGCATCATATAGCTCAGTCCTTGACTTTATGATCATAAATACATCGTTTATTACAAATGTATCTCATAACTGTCAATACACACTGATGCTGATTCAATATCAAAGGTGATTTGATGGCAAAATAAAAATGTTGAATTCAAACAGATGAGATGTGATGGGAGCTAGTCCTAACCTTTGTCTTCTTAACAGGTATACCATCTAAAAGAAACTAAAATGTGTGCGTACACGTATGTGTGTGTGTGGGGAGGGTTTTACTTACAAAGTAGATATCTGTGATTGGCACATCATCTTCATCATCGACTGAAGCCTGGCTGGTGCACCCTGAGCCGGACATCTGGCTGGCCCTGTCTGCCTCTATTGCCACCTTGGGGCTGGACGGGGCGTCCCTGGCTGCCCCGGGGGAACAGGGAGCAGCCGGGGCAGACGAGGAGGAGGCAGCTTCAGGTGCTGACGAAGAGCTGGAAGGTGCTGCTGCAGCAGCACTGGGAGCCTCGGCACCAGCTACTTCCTGAACCCCACTGTGGGAAGGCGGAAATGGGATGGTTAGATAGTTAGTGTAGTCCGGGGGTTTTCAAACTTTGACACTGTGGGCCTCCTTCCCCAGACGAAATCAAGACAACTGTGACTCCCCCAGTAATGCTTTGGGGAATTTAATTTAAAAGGAGGTGTATTTATTTGAAAAGGTTGGGGGTAATATACAGTTAATTTGATAATGCTACAACCTCAGCCCTGTTTTTTAAGGCCTACATTTGTTCATTTTGACAAATTGGCATCATCAAAAGTATGCTGAATTAGCTATTAGCAGTTTGTTTTTGCAATTACCCATGGGTGTACATTCAACCAACAGTGGATTGCTTTGACACTGAAAAACTAAAAACATAATGATTCTCCAGCAAGTTTTGTAGATATAAGGAGCGTCTAAGCGGATTTCTGGATGTTTATTCACAGAGATATTCTCGGAAAGTGTACGTTGTAGAAGACTAGGTGTAGTACAATGTACAATGTAATATAATTTTGATGTTTTCCTGCACATTTAGAAGTGTTTTACATGGTTTTTAAAATAATATTATTACAGTCATTATTCCAAAGGCTCCATGTAGTTTAAGCACAATATAAACACCCTGGTTACCCGCACACACAGACACACACAGCAGTTCCCGACATTAAGAGCCACTGATTGGGTCACTTGTCATAAGCCACTTTTCTGCAGCAGGGCAGAGGAACAGCTAAAAAAAGCTATTAGAGAAAACTGTCTCTGGCTAAAATTCAACAGCTGTGTGTGTGTGGTGGGGTGTTTAGCTGCTTAGGCTCTAAGATTTGCCAGCTGGCTGTGTGCTGCCACAATCCTTTATTGTTCCTGGCCAGATCATGAACTATTAGGAAGGATTAAGGCGCGTCCACATTGCTTTCTCAGCTTCTGTGTTTGAGCTTAGCTCCACCAGAGGAGAAGGCCAGCAGTTGGCCGCTGAGGCAAAAAAGCCAAGCTGGCTTCTCCAAGAGAGAGCTGATTGGCTAAATAAATGAGGGGGACAGAATGGGGGTTGACATGCAGAAAAGTCTTTCTTTCATCTCTCATTTCATCTTTTGTACGTATAACTGTACATATACTGTATCTTTGTCTCTCTGTGTATCACTCCCCATCTTTCATTTGCTGCTTTTCTCTTTCTCTATATTTCTGTTTTTAGACATTTTTTCCTCTTTCTTCACACATTACTCTTTCGACTCTTCTTCTCTTTGCCTTTCTCTTCCAATCAGTCCTCCCATTCTCTTTTCTCCATCTCTCTTCTCACACCCGTCCAACCAGTTCTCCAGCTGCAGGTGAGTTAGAGGCAGCCCAGAGGAGTTGTTTCAATCAGATGGTTGATTCAGTCGCCTGTCGCTGTCTCAGCTGCTCTCACCAACCCCGTCTCCTCCCCGCAAGCTCCTTCCAGACCCCCGGGCCATATGTCTAGCCGCTGCCTTCTCAGCATCAGACCCAATTATTCAGCTGGTTTCCCTCGGCAATCACACCATGATCTTCACTGACCTAACCTGAACTTAAATGTGAGCCCCGCTGCCATGTTCCCATCAGTTGTGTTTGAATTCAGTTTATTTCATGTGGCTTACACTAAGTGATGTGATTTTTGAGTTATGTCCCCCCTGCTGTTTTCTTTTTCGGATGCAGTTTAATGTTTCAAATAAAGCTAAAATGCCAAACCAATTAACTTCAATTAAAAACCAGGTTAGAATATGCAACGTGTCAGGTCATTCCAGCTTTATGGGAGCAGCCCCAGGCCTGCAGGCTTCCTGCCCCACTGCCCTACTTCTACTGGCTGGTTTCCCCATGTCGGCCCCATGTCTGCCTCGCAATGTCACCCCATAAAAAAAACAGGCACTGCTTATACACACAGCACACATTTACATGCATGTGCGCACTCTCTCATAACCTGATTACTGTATAGTACGTACCGCTCTACACAGTGCCAGCCTCACTTATCTGTCCATAACAGCGGACCCGAGTCCTATGAACAAATAGGTCAAGCTGCTTTTGGTGTTTATCTGTGTGCCATGTTAGAAATGATGTGTGTGTGTGAGGCAGGTGGAGAATGTAACCACTGGCTGAGCCCAGGTGAGACACACAGATTATTTATAGTGCTGCCTCAAACTGAGTCATATTGATGATTGGGGTCATGAAAAGACTCATTACAGCTGTACAGCTTATCTATCCTGTATTGAGTTCACAGATAACATGTGACAGAGTTGACTCTTTTTGCCATCTTGCTGTGTTCAGATGTGCTAAATATGGCAACATGCACCAGTCATCTGGAAAATAATATTTTTTAAAGACAATAAGGCTGATATTTTATTGAGCCTTGTATTGAGTTTTAAAGGGAAAATATACCACAAAATAGACTTTACATGGTGCTATGCCAATAAACAAACAACAAACACAGACAAATGGATTTAAACAATTTAGTCCTTCTATAAAATGAATGGACTAAAAATCAATAGAAAATCAATAAATATAAGTGCATCAGAGCTACAGTAAGCACATTTAGCTCCCTTATGTCTTATTTGTTTAATTTATTAGATTACATGACATGTTCTGATGCACTGTAGAATCTAAAATGTATTACACATTATTGGAAAATCACAAATTCTGTTCAAAATGGAGTTTGTTGCTGTACCTGGTCTCAGGTGAAGGCTGTGGGACAGAGATGGTGGGCTCACTGTCGTGTCTCTTCAACTCCACCTCCACTGTGATGGTCTGCTGATCCTCCTCACGCACACGCAGCTCCTCCTGGGTCCTGAACACAAACACAACATGCATAAAACAACACGCAGAGAGGAAATGAAACACGCACGAAAAACAAACACAGCCACGTCAACAGGAAGAATGGGCCTACTCATAAACACACAGACCTGCAGGCTGACCTCACATTTTCTCTTGTACCCACCCACCACACCCAAAAATGTCTAATGCTGTGAAAACATGAAGCTAGCAACCCTCAAAATGTTGTAAAAACAGCTCAATCCAGCTAAAAAAGGTTTATGAAGTGAAAGTAGCATTCATGCTCCTGACTCACCTCCCGTCGTGGCTCAGAGACTGGGTGTGCCTCCTGGAGACAGAGGACATAGTGTCAGTACAAGCTGTATATGAGAACTGCAGCAGCTAGCTAACATGCAACACCCTGGTGTGGGTCTTAAAACCTTCAACTACTACTACCATAATGTGAATTATGTAGTGTGTGTGTGTGTGTGTGTGTGTGTGTGTTTGTGTTGGCACCTGTAGCGGGGGTGCTCGGCCGTGTCAGAGGGGGACCTCTCTGGGATGGACAGAGAGGTGGTGGAAGAGAGAGTGGTGGCAATAGAAGCTGTGGTGGCCTCCTCAAAGGAAGGAGGAGTACATGGAAGAAGATCTGGTCGCCCTGGAGGAGAGCGAGGAGACACACACATACACATTATTATATTTATCTTTGACAGGGCAAGCACCTGTTAATTTTCTTATTTTTGCCACGTTGTTCTGCTTGTGTAGCCTTTTGTTTCCCATGGCAACAGCTGTAAGCTTGCTGTTTGTCGAGGGTTGGAACGATCAATAGTGTTCTTGTTTACAAAAGGAGACTGTGAAACATTTTCATGTCATTAAAAGTTGCCTGCGGTCAAAGTCGAAACTCTTTAACCCCTAACAATACTCCACAAAGGTTGGCAAATGGAAAATTCTGGTAAAAATCTGCATCTGTTACTATTATCTGTGTCTGGTTATGTTGGGTTAGGTCACTGCATTGCAGCACTGTATGCAGGTGTTACTTACCTTCGTCCTCCAGCGTTGGGAAGCTGCGAGCTCCTCTCAGGTCGTAGATATTCTCGTCTCTCTCAGAGGGCAGCTGGCTGGCTGACCAGGCTGCACCAGGACCAGTGCATTTAGGCACCGACAACGACACGCGACCCTTCTTGGATGGAGATGACTTTAGAGCTGAGGGACACATTAACACATTAAAGAAAATGTGGATGTGTGATATGGCATATAGTGCTGTCAAAATAAAAGATTAAGCCTAAACACTAACTAAAAGGTTTAAAAATGATTTGTCCTCCTGCTACATTCCACAAGAATTATTTCTCAGTATGTAAAAATCAAAGGAAAGGGATGAAATAGCAAACTGCACAAGGATCAAACTGATGTTAAACTCGCACATGACATGAAAGAGCACCTAATAAGGCAGTTAGCTACTGTATCTGATTTTCCTGTCAAGGCTCGGCAGTAAAAGAGAAAAGCCTTGCATCTGACATTTGCGTCTGTCTGACTATGTAAGGCAGTGTCTTCACATAAATTGAACTCACAGGAGCTCTTCCTGAAAACCGTGCTGCTCATGAACTTGAAGAACCTATCTGCATAGAAGCCTGGCCGGTGGACTGATACAGTGTCCTGAGGGAGAGACGGAGAGATTAATGAGACAAACAGTGCATGAATAAAATGATCAAACCAGCACTCGCAGTAGATTAAACTGTCCCTTTAGTGTCCCTTTTCAGTTATGTTTTTCTCTGGGTCAAACCACCAGACAGAAGGCATACAATAAAGGACTAATGATAGACAAAACACCAAAAACACGGTCAGACAAGGCTATAGACACGTCTCTTCATTATTTATGTTGCAGCAGACTCAGATCACTCTACCAGCAGACGGACAGATGACACTTGGTGTTTGGTTTAGACTGACAGAGGGATGGAGGACACTGAAGAAGTGAAGGAACAGCAGCTCGCTTATTATTAGCTTTTTGCATCTGCATCACTGGACTTCACTATGAGTAACATCTTTGAAAGCATTCACCTAACTGAGCCAACAGTGTGTAACAAAGAGAGAGTGAGGAGTGTCCATTATCATCAGTAACAGTGAGGAACAGGAGGCAGGGGTTTCAGAGTGGGAGAGAGAGTGGAGTGAGTAAGGAGAGAGATTATTGATAGGACTGATTCTATCTTGAGAACAATCTGCAGAGACCCTGCACTCAACTGTATTTTCTTTTTTTCTTATTATTTTGCTGTGTTCAGGATGTTTCTGGGCGTCAAACTTTGGGCAGCACGCGGCGTCTGAGGTCAGGACTCTATAAAAAAACGTAGCGACAGTCTGTGTGTCTGTCTGGCTGAGGGCGGGGCTGAACCACACACACGGAGCAGAGGGCACAGCGGACAGGATGACGCTTTGGCTGCATTCACACAAAAACCCAGCAATGTGGCTTCTTTCCGCAGGATTGTGCAGAGGTGTGGCTCTGTTTATTTGTGTTTTAGAACGTAACCGCCGTGAAACAATCAGAAAAATAACACTTTATTTCCTGACTTCTGCTTTATTCTCGCCAAGGCCGCTCCCTCTCTTTATTCACTCTCTAGCTAGCTCGACACACAGCTGTTGTCACTCTTGTTGAGCCAGGGAAGAGGGGCCATCTTTTAATTATATGTTCACAAACAGTAACCAACAAACCCTACTCATTATGCCTTTAAACAGTGAAATCAGACCTGGCAGCACACAATATGTAATGTTGTGTAGGCTGGTATGAGCTGCTGATCTTCATGGCTCCGGTCTTATTTGTTTATTGAAGTATACTAAAAATGAATGTGGTCCAGACATATTTCAAAATACTCAAAGAGAAAGAAACCAAATTCATATAAATATAAAGAGTACAGAAATTTTTTTTTTTTAATGTCATCAGACAACAGACAACACTGTGTCTCTCTCTCTCTGTTACTCACAAAAGGTGATTTACTGTAACATGAGCAAAACTCAGTAATGGCTAATCTTCATGACAATGACAGAAAACAATGAGAATTAATATGTATGGAGTAAACAGCTAGATTAAAATATTAGCTCAATATAAGACAATTGTGGCTGGCATATAATTCACATTTGAGTAATCCGCAGCTCTGCTTGAAGCTGACTTCTAATAAGCTTTAATACACAATGCACATACACAGCAGTTAATGTGTCTGAACCTGAACCTGTGTGCTGTAGGTTCTTTAATAACAGAACTACTGGGCGAGGAGGATATTATACATTTAAATACACAGTTTTAGCCATGCAGGTTGAAAGACAGAGAAAAGCTGACAGGAAATACTCACAGAAAGACAAACTGTTCTTCAAAACGCCTATCAAGATGTCTGCTAAACTTAAAGCTAATAAAAGTCAAACAAAAAAAGCTTGAGGCTATTGTTTAATGGGGTCTGGTACTCGCTAAATGTAACTCCTGTTCTTTTGTGAACTCTCAACTTGATATAAGCAAAATCAGTCATGAGTCTGGATAATGTGATAATACAAAATAAGATGGAGAGAGACAAAAAACATAGGATATTTTTTGTGACCTGATTAGAAAAGAGTCAGTGTGCTTTGCGGATATATGTATTGACTATAAACTCCTGTGTGAGAATGTATACTTTATGTTTCTGCTCTATGTAAAAAAGCTATTAAAAACTCACCCCGTCATGAACCAAAGCCTTCCACGTGTGCTCCAGTTTCTTGATTAGCCTGAAGAAACAAAGAGAAGCCCAATTTAACACAGTGATGTTAAACATGTCTTACATATTAGGGCCACAGGCAAATGAATATAAGCACCATGCTTGTGAGATGCGAACCTTAAATGTGCTGTCGGAAGTGATTAAGTTGTTTCAGTGCATGAGTAAACTGTATGTACCTACATATAATTAGTTATTTGACTTCCATCTCCAGCCTGTGTCACACTGTAACACACACCGATCAGCCATAACATCATG